CAGCAAATGTGACGAGGGTAGGTAAACAAGTATAAGTGGCTTTTAAAAAGATGAAGCTAGATTTGTACAGTATACTCAGTCTTTGTGAAAAAGCCTGTGAATTGGTGTTTTATAATGTCTCAAAGTTAACATTTCCCCCTTGCATTTTTCTCCACTAAGTGAAAAAAAGATTTTCTTTCTGCTTTAAGGGGCTCTTCCATTTTCCCCCTACAGGATGATTTCTATGGGTATTTGATTACTACTATGTCTACCTAGTGCCAAGGAGGATTTCTGGATACTCCAGCACCCAAGTACTGACATTTATTTATTAACTATACATTTACTCTATAATGACCTAGAATCTAGTGGTCTAGTAAAACTAACAGAGTATGGATATATACAATGTGCTTGTAGGTAAAGTATATCTGACAATACATGGGCGACAGAAGAGTGTTTATCATGTGGTATGAATTAGAATAATATTGAACACCGAGGGAACTAAAGGTTGAGGTCTGGTGGATTTCAGAGCAAGATAGGCAGTTCTTACAGTGCATGGAGTACTGTCTCTTGTACCAGGGAAGGGAAAAATCAAAACATGAACACAGGTCTATAAGATGTATTCTGGCATACTGCAGAAGGCAGATGATACAGGCAGGGCAGTGTTCCATCTACTGTGCTCTGTCAAGTGTCACATGCACAGCCCACCCTCCTAACCACTTCAGCATTACTGAGCTCAGCAAAGTCATCAAATCTATCTATAAACCAGGAATCAAGTTGGCCCTCAATCTAGACAACTAGATTTCTTTGGAAAAACATCTTCATAAGGAAAAACCCTGAAGGTGTAAGGGCATCCGTTAGTACTTTATGATCTGTTAACAATTTAGAAAGGTGTACTTAGCATGATTTTACATTAGTGGACCACAAACAGCTGATAATTCTTATTGAATAAAAGACAGTAAAGTTTATCAACTGTGGTTTCTAACATGGGTCATTTGCATTACATGTTGCGCTAACATCTCTAGGTGACCAACAACAAAAAAGTTAGTTTGGGTAACAGATGTGCTTTTGCTAGGAAAACCTTCTTATTGTGTATTTGTAATAGCCATTCCACAGCCTATAGTGAATTTTGAGCGTACAAAGACACTCAGATGGCTCAACAATCTCTCCAGCCTAATCTTTCTTTAGCTATCCTCTCTTCTAGCACCGAAACATGTCCTCTCTCTTCCTTACACCTCCCAGCCTCTGCAAATGCTCTGATGCCTGGATGCTTCTCTACCCCACCATTCTACCAATCTGACTTAAAACCACAATTCAAAAGTTCTGTTTGTATAAGCTTTCTTGAAATAAGCAAGAAATTGCTCCTCTGTGCCTTTAGTATGTTGTTCTTCTGTCATTACATATTAAAATTATCTGCTTGTTTATCCATATCAAATCATAAAATCCTAAGGAAAGGCATTGTGTCATATTCAGGTCTAGGCCACTGAGCAGCTTAGTTTGGTATGTGATACAGGTAATTGCAATGTAAGACACAGTGCCTAAATCTTAACAGGCACTCAAAATTTGTTGAATGGATGGATGCTGGGTTTTTGAAATGAAGTTAACAAAAACATTTAGTACTAGTCAGGGAAACTCTGAGTAGTCAGTAGTCAGAATACAGATATAGAAATATCTGTATTCCTAGGGTGAAACACAGTGCAGTACAATGGGCTAGAGTGTGGACTTTGCAACTAGTCTGAGTCCAAGTCTTGGCTCTGCTACTAGCAGTGTAACCTAGGGTACTTTATTAACATCATGTACCTTAGTTATCACACAAACACAGAGGGCATAAGTGGGTTATTACATACAAAGTGCTGAGAGTAGTGCCTGGTACATTGTTAAGTACTTAACAAATGTTAGCTAGTGTTGTTTATATAACATAAAATGTGCAATGCTGGTTTTGCTCTCAAGAAACCAACAACCAACTTGGGAGAAGTTAGGGGAAATGACAAGAACCTGTTTAAGATGTGGCATAAAGCAGAAAGTCAGGTATTAAATGTCAAACAACTAAGTACTGATGAAATAAATAATCTGGATGACTACTGTAATTAAACTACACCCATCTGTTTTGATTCAGGTGTGTTTGTCAGGAAATGAAAGAAAAAAGGCAGCTATAATACTAGACTGAGTCATATAAAATTCCTTATAGGTCAAAGACATAGCATTTTTATATGGCTCAACCTAACATTTTTTAATTACACCTTGCTCAAGACAAGAGAAAGGAACTTCTTTATATGAGAAAGAGAATTAGGTTTACTGTACAACTGTAGAAAATAAAGGAATTCTGCCTCCAAAGCATCTTTGGAAGACACCTAATTCAACTTCATGGAACTTTAAAAATGAAAATTATATGTCTAGAAGAGAAAGGAATCTTCAAGACAATAAGAATGTTTACTTTTCTAAAAAAATGAATTCAGAAAAATCTTGGTTGTCTCTCTTTCCCCTTGTATAAAATTACAGATATTATAATCTGTGATCTCTGGCCAAAAACCAGTTATATCCTTATTTCTCTGAGTTCAGGCCCACAGCAAAAACATTAAACTTACACTTATCTCTTATGTTTTTCTAAATAAATGAATTTTAGAGACATCAACCTGCAAAGGAGCACATCAAACTTAATGTTTCTCAAATTTTTCTTTAATAAAGACAAATCAGAAGAATTATTTAACAATTTTTGCACAACTATGATTAACTGACAAAGGTGATTTGTTTAGGATATTAAGGGTAGCAAAGATGTATGCTAAGAGGGTACCACCAAGAAAAAAGACAAATACATTCTATTACTAGAAAATGCTTCAAGACAAAAATATTAATTCAGTAAGAAAATATTTCATATATCTTTTATCACAGACTATTAACTCATTTCTGTAATCCAGTTACATGGCATACATTCCTTTTTCTAGTTTCTCATGCAAAAGGTTGGAAAGTTTTTCTCAAAACAGAGCAAGTCAGCGCTAATGGTTTCAAGTCAGGGCTGGGAGTCAGCCTAGAAGAGCATGCTTAGAAGGCCATTTACGTTTACCTGACCCCAGCCTCATGTTCTCCCCTGCTCCGAAAGGGTTCAGTTAATTTCTATTACTAATGAATTATCTCTTATTCAATAGACATATAAATTACTACAAATGTACCTATAAATTAACAGGATATCATTCAATGTGGAGGAGAGCAGCTGGAACCTAATGATACCCTAGAGATCTCTTGGTTACTCTTTTTAGAAAACAAAAAAAACATGCCTCATTTCAGATAATACATAAAAATAACACTTTAAAACAAAATAGTCATCCTGCCTGTATGCTTCTCCTAAAATACCGTGTGAACAACTCAGAATTAAATACAATTAGGATGTAAGAATTAACAAGGCCAGGCGAGGTGGCTCACGCCTGTAATCCCAGTACTTTGGGAGGCTAAGGTGGGCGGATCACAAGGTCAAGAGATTGAGACCATCCTGGCCAACATGGTGAAACCCCATCTCTATTAAAAAATAAAAAAATTAGCTGGGTGTGGTGGCACGTGCCTATAGTTCCAGCTACTTGGGAGGCTGAGGCAGGAGAATCACTTGAACCCAGGAGGCAGGAGGTTGCAGTGAGCTGAGATCATGCTACTTCACTCCTGCTCCATCTCAAAACAAACAGAAAAATACAAGTTCACCTAAAAGAGACAAGAAGTATAAGTAAGGACTGCTTCCTGTAATCCTAACCATATCGTTTCATGGATAATTTTCAGAACATAAATATACAGTAAATACTATAATGGAAATATAGGGATTCATTTATTACTTTTTGGTTTACAAACAAAGGCACCCAATAATGCTTCTATTTACTTCCTATAAAAGATTATCAATTTATATTAAAACACAAAACAAAATCCCAAATCAATTCCTACAGACAACATAAAAACAGGGGAAAAGGAAATTATTTTCCCTGCTTTCAAGCTTTATTACACAGGTTCAAAAATTATTATTTTGTGCCATTCTTAAGTCAAAGAACGTACTGCCATGCTTCTCTTCACTGAGTCTTAGGACATGTTAATGTTGCCAACTCAAATTTAAATGTAGTCCCAATGACATCACAATTTACAAATGTATATGCCAGGATTAGGAGTGAATAGGAGAAAAAAACCCAAATGTTTTAGAATACAGTTTAATCAAATAATTTAAATGAAATAAGAAACATTCAATTTAGTAGGCTATCCTGTTAAATAAGGAGTCTGTATAGAAAACATAAACAGAACTAAAAATCATGTCTAGTAAATGACACAAATAATTTCTCAAATCTTTAAGTTTGACTTAAGTTCAAAGTCTAGTTGGTGGGAATTAACACTACATACTCTTGATACTAATTTTAGAACTTTAAATTCCAGAATAACAAGCTAATTTATTCATTAGTTTTCTGTTGACAACAAAATTCTAAATACACAAAATTAATGCAGTGGCCTCAGCATCCTCCCAGTTAACATTTCTTTAAGTTAGATTACAAGAACAATAAAACAGTTCAGAAGACATACACTCCCTATGCACTTCATGGGCCTGCCCAAGTTGTCCCCAACTCTTTTGCAAGACACAAAGACAATTCATCTGATTCTAAGTCTATTCAGCAGAAGTATAAAAATCATACAAATGTTAGCACGTTTTCAACATGTTATGGAAATACATTTGGAGAGATGGAGTGTTCAATGTATACTATGTGGGTCACTTTAAATCAAAGGCATCATTATTCCATTTTCAGACACTGTCATGGTCTCTTATACCTTTATGTAAGGTATGGTCCTAGACCAGAGACTTTAGTATCATTCCAAAGAATATGGAGATATTTATATACATATTTCTTTTAAAATAATATTTAAAAGTTTTACTACAGAAAATCTGGCTTCAATATGGAAGCATTTTTCCTTTTCAAGATTATACACCTGCATGAAAGTAGGTGATTTCCTTTACATTTAGTTTTTCACAATAGCAAAATAAACTTCTTACACATTGCATTTAAGTTGACAAAGAAAGTTAAGATGTAAAGTTCCATGTAACTTTTTATATTGTGATCCGTTCTTTTTAAACATACTCCAGATACACTGCTGATTATTTAATACAGTACAACTTGATCAACTTAATTAGAAGTGTTATACTGAACAATCTATTGAACCAAATGTATGCTAAAACAGCAAGTAGAGTTAGTTATTATGATTAAAGGGAATTTTAATGTATCATTAAAATATACATCAATTTTCTGGCTATTGTTTCTATAATGCATTTCTTTCTAAAGCTAAAACCACATGCATAAAAAATAAATGATATCTTCAAACTCATTCAACAGTTTGCTACTTTATGTGGTATGTAAGTAAAGTCCTTTATTTAATTTCATACACATTATCTTAAGCATTATTTTTCTTGAAGGAATTCATCTTTCAAGGTCAAAATTAGTATGTGTTTACACATGAGAACATTTTTTTAATGTTATTACTACCTGCAAATACATTCTTCCATAATAATGCACTTTCAGTTTTCATTGGAAAGATAGCACAAGCCTTCTGAAAGTCCTATGAATTAAGTTTATAAAAGGAGGAGAACACAAGTATGGTGAATCCCTCCCAATTCCCACTTCCAACAAAGTCTTAAGAAATCCTCCTGCTTCAAAACATAAACATAATCTCACAGGATTTTTATTTGATCATGATGTCGACAAGAAAACTGTATTCCTATTTTTGATACTAACAGTTTTACTGAATTTGTTTTCACTTTCCGTCAAAAAACACATAGCATATGTTGATATGGATTCTCAAACCCATTTAGATACAGGAGGGTCATTAGAATAATATAGCCTTCTGATTTTAAAAGCAACTGATTGCTTATAGAAAAATGATATGTATCAGACATTTAATCAGAAAAAGAAAAATGAGAACATGTCTTTCTCATGTTTGATATCATTTAACTTAAAAGATGATGTGAAAATAGGCTGGTTATAATTTAAAAAAAAAAAACCTACTTCAACTAATGAAAAAAATCAAACACTGAATAATCAAGTATCTTCCAACTTAGTTAGTATTACTGTCCAAATAAATGTCTTCCATTGCACTGAACATTAGAATTAGAAACTCACTATATGTTAAGGCATATTTTAATTAATATGTTCCAGAATTGCACAGTTATACTGGTCAGTGTTCCTATTTCCCCACTTCTGCCCTCATCCCACCCCTTTCTTCTAGGCTTAAAGTATTAAGTCATGGTTTTGGTGGCTATTGTAGATTTGAGCTGGCATAACACAGTGTGTTCACTAGGTTTTATGAGCATAAACATTAAAATGTTACATAAAATGTCCCATAATTTACTTCACACTCCAATTTAAGATGGTTTAATGTCTTGACAAAAGGTGAGATGACTTAAGTACATTTTACATTTTGGGCATTTAGACCACCATATGCATAGATGTTCTAATGCTGAATTCTTGGTCTTCAGTATCTCATAGTGCTGGATGCTCGGAAGTATGACAGAAACTTGTAACACAGGCTAACCACAAAGTACCAGATGTTTCTTGCCATCTGTGATCTTGCAATAAAAATGCGCCAGATGAGGATCACAAGGATAGTATTAAAACCATAACGTATATTCCGCAACCTGGAAAGCAAATCAAGAGATATGTTAGACAATATTTTCTAGAATAAAATATACTGAGTTTTTAATCTAATCAAAGCTCAAATCCATATTAATTTGAAACTCATACTAGGCATTAAGTATACTGTAGGTAAAACAGATATGTTCCTTGAATTTCTCCAGCTTCTCATCTAATCTAAAAAGGCTCGTTCATTACACGCATAACAGTACAGACAAAATAGAGCATTTTTTTGACATCTTTAGTTGCTTACAAGTTGTCAGACAACTAACTTACTCTTTCAGTTACAGTTGACAGTCACATGATCAAAGGACAACTAGACAAGCTCTCGTTCAAGCATAAAACATGGCATTAACTCGATAAAGGAGGATCTTCCCTTTTCTCAAAAAGTAACATGTTACTCAGCTCATGTTTCAAAACATTTTGATGTTTTTGATGGAGTTTAAAAGAAATACAAACCTTTAGATATGTAATCATATTACATAAATTACAGTGACTTCAGCAGGCAGTGCAAGATAGGACTGCAATGTAAGAAAAACAATGCAAAGAAAAGAGCTTTAAATAAGGAGTCAAAGATCAATACTCTAGTTTGCTTTGCCACTCAATACAATATGCATGGCCTAGGCAAATACAACTTTCCTAAGTCTCAATTTCCTCATCTATTTAACTGGCTTCCCTGCAAAGTCCCACAGTGTTATGAGGCATGAGAGGGATAATAATGTGAAAGTCTTAAAGAGTGTCATAAAAGTCATATTAAAAATCACTACAAATGTAAGCAATTACCATTAAAAATTATCTGTATCTTTGATACATTACCAATGATTTTTCCTCTTTTATCTTCTGATTATTAAAAAAAAATAGTATGTGTTACTTGGATAAAGAGATAAAGGAAATTATAACGATTTTATATAAGAAAAAAATATTCTATGCTGAATGATGTATTCTCTTCCTCCAAACATTACTGAGTAGGAAAAAAAAAAAGCCTTTAAAATAGATTACCTACAATATCCTCCTTCTAATAACTTTACTTTTAAAGTAGCAATATAAAGAAAGATAATAGTAATTTCTGAAACTCAATTCCACCTGAACTTCATCCTAAGAAAGATATAAACTGTTGAAGACAGTAAGTTTCAACAATTTTAGGCTACAGTAATACTACCATAGTTCTAGTCCAAAGGTAAGTACTTATCATAGATTATTAGCAATACCTTTTATTCAATCTAGCAGTTTACCAAAAAAAATTGTGGAATATTTCATAAAGAAAATAAGATGCAATCAAATCCATGTATCAAACTCACTTGTTCAGATGTTTTCTGGCTGCAGGGAGGCCAGACATTTCTTCATTCAACACGTACTTCTTAGTTCCCATGCAGTAGTTCTCTATGTATTCTGCCCAATGTAACTGCCGTACATCAATATTGAAGGTCTACATTAACAAAAGTTAACAAAAAATTTACTGATTATTTTCTTGACTAATTTTTTTCACAACCAGTCAGAAATTCATACTTTTTCTAAAGGCCAATTCCAAGTGACATAATTACAAAATGCTTAAATATGGAATTAACTTTTGAAATCTTACTGCTAGTCACAGAAAAGTTCTTATGCCTAGTTCATACCTTCCATTAAATGTGGAAACATTTGAGAAGATAATCTGGAAACTTGTGTCAGCATTTTAAGAGAAGTAGGTTAAATGTAAGAAGAGAAAAGCTTGTACCATTTTGCTAAACAAAGAAAAAAACCACAAAATTCCATTGTCCAAATAGATCTATGTATTCCTCACTACATTATGCATGTACTGATACATTTCCTGTTCCTTTCTATCTGTAGTCTCTTCTGCCTTCCTGTACATCATACCTACTGCACAGACTAATTTTCCTAGAGAACACTTTTGACATCAAGATAAAGAATACGTTATGAAAGCTAGCTAAGGAGTTTGGATAACTGTTATTAGACTATTTGATGAAAAGGGTACGTAAATCCAGAAAAGAAAGCCTTTGGAAATGTTATGGCAAAGTAAGAGGGCTATGCACTGCTCAGTGCTCCTTAGCATATAATCAGATAATTTTTTTGGAGTTGCAAAGATATTATTCACTATATACCATCACTTATGTAAAAATTGTCAGTTCTAGGAGGGGAAAAGCTACTTATAAGACAATCAGTAAAATATAAAAATGTAATAACTCTGCATTAAAATAAAGACTTAGGGGACATTATGAACAGGTATATGTTTATGTTATTGGGAGTCCCATTAGGAACAGTTAAAAAATATATGGAATAAAAGCAGTATTTGAGAAGATAAGAAAATTTTCCAAAAATGATGAGAAACCAAGTCACCAATTCAAAACACAAATACAACTCCCGCTTCCCCTACGTCCTGCCCCAACACACATCTAGGCACACGAGTGTCAGAAAAACATCCTATAGATTACCTCCAAAAGAACAACTATTAGACTGTAAGTAAGTTGACTTCTCAACAGAAGCAATGGAAACCAAAAGACTGAGAGATGTGTTCCAACTACTCAATGAAAACAACTGCTAAGGTAAAACTCTGTACCAGTGTAAATATCCATGAAAAATAAAAGTGAAATAAAGATACTTCCAGAGAATAAAACATGAGACAATCTGACATCAGCAGAAAACCCATGTTAGAGGAAGTAAACTTAAGGATATTCTTTAGGCAGAAGGAGAACGATTCTGGATTTGAGCCTGGAGATGGAGGAAGAAATAAAGAGCAATAAAAGGACAATTATACTGGTAAATCTGTATGAATATTTATTGCATAAACTGCAATAAAAATACTGGCTTGTGTGGCTTAACATATATATAGAATTAAAACATGTATTATGGCCAAAATCGCAATTACTTTTGCACCAGCCTAATAACAACAATAACAGATAGGTGCTGATCCTTCACTATCTGAGAAGGGTAGAAGTATCAATTCATATTAGACCTTACTAAATTAAAGGATATTGTAATCTCTAGAGTAAGCTACTAAAACAACCAAAAAAAACCCCCATAATTCTATGCAATACATATAGATGGGAAAATATAAAATTATTAAAAATCTAACCTAAAAGGGGGGCAAAAAAAAAAAAAAGACAAAAAAGAATTAAAACCAGCATGACGAATACAAAGCACTAAAGGACTAAATCCAAAATGACAGCAATTACATACAAGTTCTCCAATTAAAGGTCAAAACTTGTCAGACTGAAAATAAAAACTAACAACTATATGCTGCTTACAAAAGGCATATCTAAAAGAAAAGATACAAAATAATTGGAAAAAAAAAAAAAAGAATGGAGAAACATACACCATACAGTTCTAACAGCAATGTATAAGGATGCTGATTTGTCCAGGGACTCACCAGAGGACACTGTCCGAGTTTGCATTTTTGCAAATTTGGTAAATAGTAAATAGATATCCCAGTCTTACTTTAGTATGCATTTCCACTGAGTAAAGCTGAATATCTTTTCAAATTCTTGGGAATCATTCTGTAAACTGTTCATCTCTCTGATCTATTTTCCAATAGGATTGTTTACCTTTTTCATTATTTCTATATAAGCATTTTATGTACTAGGGAATATATAGTAGAATCATTTTGTTATACCACTGTATACCACCTAAGTGGCTAAAATTAAAAATCAAAATTAAAAAGCCAAGTGTTATGGAGGATGTGGATTAACAGAAATTCTCATACACTGTCCTTTGGAATGTAAACTGATACAACCACTTTGGAAAACTGGTATTACCTACTAAACTGAATGTATGAATGCCCTATGTTATCCTATTTCTAGGTATATACCCTACACAAATGTGTACAGATAAAGAATGCTCATAGGATAATTATTCCTAATAGCCAGAAACTGGAAATAACTCAAATGTCTATCAACAGAAGAATGAAAAAATACTGTATAATACCATCTGTGTGAAGTCAAAAATAGGTAAAACTAATATTTAGTGTTAGAATTCAAGACAGTTGTTCCCTTTGGGAAGACGGCGGAGGTAGTGATTAGGTGTATTAGTCCATTCTTGAATCCCTATAAAGACCTACCTGAGAATGGGTAATTTGTAAAGATAAAAAGGTTTAATTAGCTTATGGTTCTGCAGGCTATACAGGCTTCTGTTCCTGGGGAGGCCTCAGGAAACTGACAATCATGGAGTAAGGTGAAGGGGAAACTGGCCTGTTCTACATGGTAGGAGCAGAAAGAGAGTGAAAGGGGAGGTACTACACACTTTTAAACAATCAGATCTTAGGAGAATTCACTATCACGAGAACAGCAAGGGGCAAGTTCGCCCCCATGATCCAATCATTTCCCACCAGGCCCCTCCTCCAACATTGGAGATTACAATTTGGACAGAAGATGTAGGCAGGGGCACAAATCCAAACCATATCATTAGGACAGGGTGTAAGGGGGACTTCAACGGACAATAATGCTTTAATTCTTCATCTGGTTGCTTACTTACTTTCTTATAATCCCTTGAGCAGTATGCATTATGCATGGGGGAAAATGCAGAAGGAGAAAGTAAGGAATCAGCAGATTCCAGAAAGCCAGCCTAATCTTTCAACTTGAGAGTATCTGCAGGACCCCACAGAAGGTGGCTTAGACCTTCTGCTTTGAAGGCTGTAGGCAGAGGGGGAGATTAGGAGTCTTACAGAATACCCCTGCAAAGAGATAAGAACCTAAAAAGCTGTATCCTCTGAGCAAAGGGGAAAAAGTAGTACTTGTATACCCACCACACACCGAAGTGGACAGAGAAACAGACCACTTGAGGACTTCTGTCATGCAGAACCAGTAGAACAGACTAGATCTCTATTGCCTAATATGGCAGCCACAAGCCACCTGTGGCTCTTGGGCACTTTTAATGTGGCTAGTCCAAACTGAGATATGCTGTGGAATATAAAATGCACTCTGAGTTTTGAAGGCTCAGTATGAAAAATATAAAGTAAAATATCCTTTAAATAATTTTTAGATTTTGATCAAACAATATTTTTGATGATGTATTGGGTTAAATAACACAGTATTAAAATTAAAATAGTAAGTGGAAAGAGAAAGAAATCTGGCACTAGATGAAAAAAAAAAAAAAATCTTGAAAAAATAATGAACCAGCTCTACATCTTTTTTTTTAAAATCAGATTGACAAAGCCCAACCCAATCAAGGTAAATTTTTCAAATTACACCCACTTTCACAGTGATACTGCCAAATGTCAAACATAAAGAGAAGATGGAAGAGGAACCAGGAATAACAGATCACCTATAAAGGAAAAGCTATCTACTGGCTTTTCAATAGCAACAATGGAAGACAAAATATTAAAAAGAAAGTTTTTGTTTGTTTTTTTGAGAGACTCTCACTCTATTGCCCAGGCTGGAGTGCAACGAATGATGGGATCACATCTCACTGTAGCCTTGACCTCCTGGGCTCAAACGATCCTCCCATCTCAGCCTCCTGAGTAGCTGGGAATACAGGCACATGTACTATGCCTGTCTAATTTTTTTTTTTATTTTTGTGGAGATGGATCTTGCTATGTTGCCCAGGCTGATCTTGAACTCCTGGCCTCAAGTCATCCTTCCACCTCAGCCTCCAAAGTATTGGATTACAGTCATGAGCCATTATGCCCAGCAAAAAAGTTCTTTAATGTGTTGAAATCATGTTCCAAAACCAAGGATGAAAACAAGGACATATTACACAATCAAATACTGAGACCTCACTACAAAACACAATCCTTACTAAAACATATTCTAGGTATGCTGGATATATTTCAGGCAGAAAGAAGATCATAAGGAGAAAACCTGAGAGTAAAGACATTGGTATACACAACACACACAAACACACAGAGTTAAATCTAAATAAAAACTAAATGAACAAAATAATATCTCATCATGGGGTTTAAATAGGGGACTGGGGCAGGCATGGTGGCTCACGCCTGTAATGCCAGCACTTTGGGAGGCTGAGGCTGGCAGATCTCCTGAGGTCAGGTGTTTGAGACCAGCCTGGCTAACAAAGTGAAACCCCATCCCTATTAGAAATACAAAAATTAGCTGGGTGTGGTGATGGACACCTATAATCCCAGCTACTCAGGAGGCTGAGGCGGGAGAATTGCTTGAACCAAGGAGGCAGAGGTTGCAGTGAGCCAAGATCATGCCATTGCAGTCCAGCCTGGGCATAGAGCAAAACTCTGTCTCCAAAAAAAAAAAACAGAACTGAAGTAATATAGTATTACAATTATTTTAAGTGAGTAGGAGTGGTAATCACAACTAAAACATTTTAAGGTTCTAAATATTATTAATGTTAAGAAGGAGGCTATAAATATTGCTTAACTTAATCTGTGTTAGATATACATGTTAAAACATCTAGAGTAAACTCAAAAATAGCATACATCAAAGAATTTAAGTTCCAAACTAACAAAGGGCAAAATGTGGAATAAAAAAAAGTAAAAGGGTTTGTGAAAAACAAGTTTCTCTAAGAAACTTGTTTTTCTCAAAACTCAGAGAAAACAAAGTGTTTGAAAGAAAATCACGAAGATAAAATTCTCTCTTAATTCAACATTAAGGAAACAAGAGAATCAACATTTCAATCATACTTTGAAAATACCTTTGTCACTCTAAAATACTTATACTAGAAATTTTAAGATAGAGCAATTTTATTTTACCACTAACAATTATGACAAACTTTATGAGAGACTGTAAGTAATGACTTTCTTGTTGCATAATAGCTGTGGAAAATATTTTTCAGGTTGCTAATGGTTCTGTAATTAGTATGCTACTTATTTTCTAATATAAAACAGAAAATACTTGCCTTTTTATCTTCAGGGTTTAGTTGATTAATTAACATATTGACATTGTCAGTATTCCAAACCCAAGAATTACTTGTGAAATATTCAAGAAACATCATAGCTTTGTGAAGACGAGTAATTGCTTTCATCATCCTGTATTGTAAGAAAAATTGACAGATTCATATTTTGTATAGATTAGGAAAAATCCTATTACCACCAATATAGGCATTAAAATTAAAATCATAACATTTAATCCTTAAGTGTACCAAACCAGCAGGGAATAAGAATATTTCTGCATCTTGGATGAACAATTTATAAATCCAAAAAAAAGAATTTTTTTTTGAAAGCAGCAGAAAATGAATTTAATACCACCTAAACAGAATTCTACTGATATACAGAATTAACTCTCAAAGGATATACAATACTCTTAAATTTTCTACATCAATACTAAGCAAATGAACGGATTCAATTAATATGTCCTTGCTTTCTATTCCATAGACTATATTTTAGCTCACAGCTGCATTTACTAAGATTTCCTGTGAATTCATAATATACTGTGTTATATTTATAATCCCAACTCTCCAGCATCGCTGAAGCAAAGTGAATACAGAAATATTCGTTTCCAGGTAGTCAACTCTATTCATTTAAAAAAAAAAACAAAACAACTTTTCTTTAACAATGATTGGCACCACTCTTCATCATCTGGATGACTCATGCTGAAAACTATCTGAAACAGATACTCACTCACCTCCCCATACCCCACCTATAGTCATCCTTATAGAAATAAAGGAATGTGACACTTGTTTCTTTTCAAAAGTACAAGGAGCTTTAATCTTTAAATCTGTCATTTTATATATCATGGCTCACTGTAAGTCATTGATATCATAACACTAACTTGAACAGTAACATCTATACAATAATATTTATGACAAGTAGGGAAAGGGAAGAAAGAGCTTTTTGAAACAAAAAATCCCAACTTCTGAAAACAGAAAAATAATTTGTACAGAAGTATTTTTTTAAAATTTCATTTATATTATAATAAAGATTTGCATTATATGTATTAAGTAGTTCAGAAAGTCTCAAAATTGGAGGCTTTAGAAATAGGGGGCATGGAGGAAAATTACATTAGAAATGAAAAGAAAAAATTAAAAAAAAGTATCATTAGCTAAGCAATTCTGATAACACATTCAATACATTTAGAAAGAAACTGAGTCCAGAATACTGGAAAAAAATGAAGCAACATAAACTATGTAAAGAAAAACTATATTTCAAACAATAAAGTAATTTCAAAATAAAATATCTATTAAACACAAAAATAATTATCAAGCATTGAAGGCGGCTTTTGGACAGGGATAGTTCTGTAGATAAAAAGCATTTGAGGGGGAAAAACACATGCTGCTATTAGAAGAGATTAGGTGATTATTTTTTTCTTAAAAACAAGAAGAGACAACAAATTTGTCACTAAATCAATATACACTATCACGCCAGTTTAGCATACTTAAATCTCTTTCACACACACAGCTAACATGGTTTTCCTATATATATCTTATTAAAAAGTTTTTCTTAACTCTTTTTCACTGACAATTCTCTCACCTAATCTTATCTTCATATTCATTAAAGTGACAGAATCACCCTAACATCAATCACTGATTCAGCCATTCAAAACATAATTGCAGTAAAAAATTGGGGAAAGGGAAGAAATTTGAAATACCATATATTTGTGTGTGAAATTCATAGAATATTTATCATGCAAGAAAAATACATGGATCGAAAACTATGGGGAAATAGAAAGAAGCATAAATCTTTGTACCATCACTCCTTGGTTAAACATACCATAGAATAGATGTTTAAGACTACATTGCCAGGTATGTTCTGAATATGTATTTATTCTTTATTATGACTACTTTAAAAAAATAATCACAATCCTTTAGAGGAAGGCAAGATCTTAATGATTATCTAGTCCAGGGTAGATAATCATTTTTCAACCTTGGCACTATAAATATTGTGGGTTTGTTAATTCCTTCTTGTGGAGGGCTGTGAAGCATGCTGTAAGATGTTTGTCAGCATCCCTGGCCTCCAGTAGCAGCCCTCTCCCAGTTGTGGTAACTAAAAATACCTGCAAACATTGTCAAATGTCTCCAATTGAGAAGTACACAGATGAAAAATATCTAGTGTAGAGAAGTTAAGCTAGTTATGCTAGTTAACTAAAACATAAGGTCATAGAGCCATTTTTTAAAAATACTTTTAACAGTGATGAAATGTCTACTGTATTTCCAGAGCTAGAGTGAATAATTTATACTTGCTTCTACATGCAATAACACCATGCATCACAGTCCCCCCAATGACTATTAACCAAGAATCTATATGATGTATAATTGAGTTGTGCTTTTTATAATTACATCAAGATATACAGCAGGTCAGATTGTTATCTAGCTCACATTCAGAATTACGAAAATGAGTAAACTGGATGAAATGAATGACATGACTGACATCAGTTTAATGTAAAATTAGGCATTATAGTAAAGCCCCAATATAAGGTGTAAAGTCTATTACCATGCTCAATAAATTTCTGAACAAATTAAATAATACAAATTGTAAGACTGTATTTAACATTTATAAAATTATCTAAATAAAAAAATCTCTACATTCCTTGTTGCTTTTAGACTATAAGCTCTCAGAGGTCAAGGATCTGTCCTGCTTTTATACTTAGAAAGCCTCACACAGGACAAACCTCAGGTAAGAAAATTCTTTACTTTATGTTTTCTACTTAGGAAAGATTAATTTCCAAAGTTGCCTATGATATTATTTCACATCCTACATGCCCACCTACAATACAATGTCACCTTGACTGTCTTCTCAATGACAGCTGAAAATAACTTAGAACCAACCGAATGAGGTGGAAGTGACACAATGTGACTTCCAAGGCTAGGTCAGAAAAGGTGTAGAGCTTTCTGTCTTGCTCACTGGATACTCACCCTTGAAGCCTTCAGTCACCTTGTACGCTGTCCAGCTCCCCCTGAGGCTGCCATGCTGCAAGGAAGCTCAAACTAGTCCATATGGAGAGACCACATGGAGAGGCTCTGACACTACTGGAGAGAGAGATGCCCAGCCACACCAGCTGCTCTGCTCCTTCCCCGCTTTACCACTCCCTCCACAGCAAAGCTGCTCCAGTCCCTGTCTGACTACAATCATTTGAAAAATCCTGAGCCATTACCATCCAGCTAAACCCTTCTAGAATTCCTGACCCACAGAAATTGTGCACAAAAATAAAATTATTACTTTAAGACACTAAGTTTGAGGTGCCTTGTTATACAAAACAGATAAGAGATCTCAACAGATCTCAATACTGGGAGGGGCTGCTATAACAAAAACCTAAAACGTGGTATTGGCTTCAGGGTCAAGTGGTAAACAAAATCTGTAAGGCCTGTGAGGTGATCGGCAGTGAAATGTAAAATGACCAGGAAAATAGTATTATTAGAAGCCTTAAAGGGCTTTAAGAAAGCTGTTGGTGAGGGCTTGAAGTGAGGACAACAAACTGTCACCTGTGGTAAGAAGGAATATGGAAAGTGTACCTAATAAACTCAATGATCTAGCCGAAATTCGCTGAAAGAGGGCAAAAGAGAACAAAGATGATCTTTAAAAATGAACTATTTGAGTGCAATTTGGAGGAAATGTAAAATGTCAGCCAGGAATTCTTTAAGAAATGGTTTCTGAGCATAGCAGGGTAGGGGAAGATGGATTCTTTGCTAAGACTTTAGAAAGACTTAAAGTAGTGCCTTCCAGAACTTTCAGATAGACAAAAGGTACTCTTCAGATCTTAAAGAAATGTGTAACAGAAACTCTTATTGTTCAAAACGTAGGCTCTAAGATCTAAAAGTGTTGTCCCATAGCAACTTCACAGGGAACCCAAAATAAGAGAAGGGCTAGTGTCAAAGAGATTTATGGATATGGCTTTTGTCTAATGGGGTGAATTCCTTTAAAATAGATACACCGGAAACCCACACAATTTTTAAGCAACTGTGTCAGAATACATATAAAGGGACAGACAATAAAAAAATGAAGAGACTGCTATATCAAGGGTCAGCAAACCAGGGCCTATATACCAAATCCAGTCCACCACCTGTTTTTGTAAATAAAGTTTTATGGGAACACAGTCATGTTCATTCATTTACCTATTTATTGTCTATGGCTGCTTTCATTTTTAACAGCAAAGATGAGTAGATTCAACAAAAACCACACGGGCTGCTAAACCTAAAATATTTACTATATGGTCCTAATTTACAAGAAAAGCTTGCCAGTTCCTGCCCTGATTCCCTACCCTTTTATGGGCAGGAAGCAAGATAAGAAGGCTACTTGGCTGCACACAGAGCCCATAGCACAAGCCAGTTTTTAAAAGGATGGCACAAGCCATCCTTTTAAAGAAGGATTACTCAGAGCCTCAGAAACCTTCCAGAGAATAAGACTGATGGTTTCCTAATCAAGAAACCATCAACACGTATCTGACTGGAATTCAGAAATGTTATGGACCAGTGTTTGCTGGGTACCTCCCAATACTCTCTTTTTGAATAAAACTATTTAAAGCCATTATCCTATGCTACCATCATATGATGGGCGTATGGGCAGTCAGTAACTTGTTGCTTTAGTTCACAGATCAATTCTGGAGGAACTATACTCAAGGAGCTATCCTGACAAAATCACTGCTAAAGAGCCTTACCCAAAAATGGACCAGATTTAGATGACAAAACCCTGGCTAACAGCTGATGCCACAGGGATCTGGGGTGGTGGAGGTGGGGAGGCATGAAGGGGAAGGCATGGTGAAGGGGGAAGAAGCAACTGTACTTTCCATGTAGAAGAAATACAAATTGTTTTGGCCAGAAGGTTGACTACAGCAGATTGTACTTTCCAAAAATGGCGGCAACAATACCCTTCATCTTGACTACTTTCTAATTCCCCTTTCCTTAAATTTAGGAAGATTTGTGACTCACTCGTGACTAGAAGAATGAGGGAAAAGTGATACTGCATGACTTCTACAGGTAGCTCAGAAAACGCAACACAGCCTCCACCTTACTTGCTAAAAGACTTCCTTCCCCCTTTGAAGCCATCAGCTGCCATGTAAGAAGTCTAATTCCCCTAAGGCTATCATTAATTACTGCAAAGAAGTAACGGAGAGATCCTTATGACATGACAAACAGTAATATCCGGGCTCCTGGCTGTTCCATTGCCTCTCTGCCCACCTGTCTCTTTCATCTGATCACAAACACATGAAAAGCTCCAAGCCAAATGTGCCCAGCTGATTCTTTCTCAAATTCCTGATTATGAAAGAAATAGTAAAATGATTGTTGCTGTTTTTAGCCTCTAAGTTTCAGATGATTTGTATACAGCAACATCCTCTGAATCAGTAACTAGTAAACCAGCTATTAGCAAACTAACAGTAATTAGTAAACTAGCTATTCACTTATTTTTTTAAAAAGTTTACTAAGTCCCCTTTCTTTGTGTAAGGCAATGTGATATATTTAATGTTTTATTTTTTTACACCCAGTTTTTACTTTTCTGCCCTAAATTATAACCTTATTTATATAAAGAAAACATACACTGCCATCATTCATGAATTTATACCTGCTGTTTAGCCATGAAAGAATGTTTCCAATGGCAAATATTGCATTTTGCATATCACTCTAGAAAAGTCCGAAAATATTTCTTTACCCATTCTAAATTTGTTCAACACCTCTCACATATTTCAATTAGCCAACATATAGGGTGAGAAACATCTTGGAAAAGAGAATCCACAGAAAATACCTACAAGGAACTCAGATCCTGATACACTGTAACTGGCATATACCTCACTTTTATTTTTGGAGTAACTGATGGAACTTCTGGGATCAGTATCTTCTTTATACGAAAAAAGTCAAATCCTGAACTCTCCAATCAAAGACTCCACTGTAATGCCAACGTAGTTTTAAAAAGTATTTTTATGATATATTCTACTGTAATTGTGTGGTAAAGACAGTACAAGAACTTTTAAGTTTGTGGGATTTCAACAAAAACAAAAAATAAAGAAAGGTTATAACAAGTATAAGAAAACAAAGTTTTCCATTTTTTTTTTTTTCATAACTATGACATTCCCAACCTGGAAAATTAGTCAAAAACTGTAATAACCATATTATAAGCTGAATGGGCAGCTGAGATATTTCAAGTTATTAATTTTCTAAACATATCCTGTATTTTTAACATAAAACTGCAGCATCCATTCAAAGCAAAACTTTTACCCTTAATCCCCTATAAAAACTCATCACTAGGTTTTTAAGATGGAGAGAAGGGCTCAATTTCAGCTTATAATAACAATGACAATCATAATGTAGGACACTTTCTGTATTATGGAAATTAAGATGATCAATGACCCAGTAAGATGTGATCCATAGTTAGTGCCCCTAAAGATCTCCAAATTCTAAGAAATGTCCTAGCATTCTGATTGTGATTGTAATTAATCTGGTTAGTAAATCTAAAGGTAAAACTCATGCTAGCGACTTTTTCTCTCCAGCAAGCTTCTACCACCTTACCAATACATAGTGTATTTACTGCTATTCTTCTTACCACGGTTTCTGACCTGTCAACCTGAGTGCAAGATCGAGCAATAATGCAGGTACTGTATGTCTGACACCCTTCCAATAATGAAGCAATAGGTTGTTGGTATAAAACTTAATATTGGGGCGCCTGTAAACTTGGTTAAAAGGATGCATCTTGAAGTAATGATTTAGAATATCTCCTGTGGGAAAAATAAGCGTCAAAGCATTTTAAATATTGTTATTCAGAAAGAAACCTAAAGTAAGACCTAGAATTCAATACATGATAATAACTATCCAAACTTTAAACAAATTAGAGTAACTTACAACACTACTTTTGCTTTTCTGACAATGTCTTAAATTCAAGAGTCTTCTCAGTCACAAAAGGCCATTAAGCCTTATCAAAAGCATAAACAAATACAGAGTTAATATGCATTTTAGTGTAAGCATGGGTTGTTTAACAGTCAGAGGAACAGATAAGACAGAGCTAGTCACCATTACCTTGGGCTTCTTCCAGTCATCCTGAGGTAGATATCATACAGGAATGCTGGGGCCTTATGGCTTACAGCAATCCAGTAATGATATAAAAGGTGATTGGAGGTTAGATTTACATTGGGCCGTCTGAAGGCCTGTTCGAGAGGATTCCTCTTGAAAGTGGAAATTACATGGTATTCTGAGGAAGAAAAGTTGTGTAACAGCTTTGATAATAACCATGTAATGAAGTTTTGAAAAAAAAAATCATGTTTTTACAATGCAAAATATTTTACCAAAGATGTCAGAGTTCGTTCATTTAAAAAACAAACTTTTCTACTTTCTAGTAGCTAGTAGAATATGGGTATTAGAATGCTAAACTCAAGTGGTTTTATAACTGCTGCTATTTATGAATTTTAATTAGATGAATGAATTTTTGCTAAAATTCACTCTTAAAATCCTTTCAATGTTTTACCTATGTCAGTTTACAGTGTCACTTTCTATATTTCACTTCTCACGATAGCTTCTTTCTTTCTGTTCCTCTTTCCAGACTCTCATTACTGTACTTACTTAAAAAAGAAAAGGAAAATCATCATCCTTTGCTTAAGTTGCTCAAATTAACATTTATTAACAGGCATAAAACAACCCAAAATTAACTTCTGTTGTAATTTATGTAGGCTATGTAATGTCAACACAATCAAACCTAGTATCATCTATGTTAATACTTTACTGAAAATGTATATTGAGATAGTCATTAAAATATAATGCTCAACTTCAGCTTCTACTAAACTTTACAACACATTAAAAGATTACCAAAAAACCTAACTCATTTAAAATATTTAAATATTCTTAAAAGAATACTAAAAATAATTATACAGTTAAAATCACCTGAGATTTTATCTTTTTCCTATATGCTCTAATGTCAATCTTTACACTGAAATAAAATGCCATAGAAAAATCCTAGGACAAATGTCATAAAAAATTTACACTGAAATCAAAATTGTTCTGCCAGGGTAATTATTCAATTAGAGGTTAAATATGACCTAACACTAAATTAATACCAAAAATATATTTTACTTTAAATTTGAACTCATCAACCAACAATTTAAAAAATGATTCAATTGCAACAGGTTTTAAGTTATACTACTCCTATTTAAGTTACACTATTCCTATAGAATTAAGAACACATACACCTGCTGTGACTCTGTAAATTTAAATAGATTAATGAAGGTTAATAAAAAATATTCTAGCAAACTGTATTCTTCTTCCTAATTCCTTCATTTATTACTCTGGGTACCACTTAATAGACCACCTCTTGTAAGAAGTGATACTGCCTACGGATAGGCAATGGCAAGACCAAGGGTGCTCACAAGGGAGAAAAAAAGCACTGTTCCCATGCCATAGGTATCTATGAGGGCTGCTGCAGATGGCAGTAGAAAAACAGCAAGGCTTAGACAAGCATAGGGTGGGTGGGCAAGAATAGACAACAGGACATTTTAAATTTGTGAAACATAATATTAAGAACCACAAGGTAGTATTGGTAGATATTACTTCTAAGATGACAATTAAGAACAAATTGGTAACTCAGTGGCCTTAATGTCTCGTAGGTATTCTAACATTAAAACTTCAGGGAACTTGGTTTTTTAAGATTTATTCTAACATTCAAAAACACAGGTAAAATCATACCAACTTCACCCCAGTGGAAAGGATTAGTGCTGCCTGTTGTACAATTATACACCATGATGTTTCGTGGTCTGCAAAGACAAAGGTGAAACCAATTAATCATAATAAGAGGCCAAACATATCCAATCTAAATCTTAGATAATATTCAAGAAGACATGAGGATGATGAGCATCTTTTCTATACTAATGTTTTTAAAGGATTAGTTTTTATGCTAATGACTATTTACAACTACGCTTTCTTCTTCCCCTACCAAAAATAATTATTTATTTTTAAAAATACAGACTTTTTTCCCTTTCACATTTTTCCTCCTTATATAGGAGTATCTGTTTTTAAACATGAGGAAAACAACAAACAATCTCAGCTCTTCTTGTCTCATTTTCAGAGGATCAAGCTGAAAAAAATTATGGACTGTTTCCTTGTGCCAGAAACAACATATTCATATAATCATCTCTCTCCTTTTTTAGGACAGAAAATACTGATTATCAAAAATAAAGGTAGTTTACTAGTAGAAAAAAAAAGTTACTGGGAAGCTGAAAGTTTAAATGTTACCCATAAATGCGACTTTTACCTTTTAAAGGAAAGATGTTCATGGGTTGATTAAAGCTGCTCTGATGTGCAATGTTTAATATATGTAAACCATATTCTGTAAACTTCAGCTCTTTATATATATATATACACCAAGTTTTAGTTTTGATTAAAAAATCATCCTTAGGGAAGGTATTTTTTTTCATTTTTAACCCCTAATAAACTTATCTATTCTGTAAGTATAATATATGAGCATTAACATTAATTCTTCATTACTACTGATTGGGACCACTTGCTATTGTCTGTGATAATACCAACTCTTGGAGTTGGCAGTGATATTGCCTAAATATTGGTATGGCAACATCTGGATGGAGGGATTCATTAACATTAGTCAATAGTATGTCTTCCCTTTTCAGTTACTATACATTTAATAAGTAACATTGTCACCTCATATACCTATTAACTCCGGAATACCAGGCTGCTGCAAGACTCATGTTGACAACTACGTCTACAGGAACAAGATCTGCAAGGGCACTGTTGGAGGCACGCATTGTTCGAAGAATTCCTTTCCCTGCCTTTGTTGAAATTAAAAACAGCACCTTAAGATATATAAGCCATAGTGTATATATATCTAAATATACACATAAAGCAGAAAAATGTATAGAATATTAAATAAATCAAAAGGTTTACTTACTGCAATAAAGAGCCCACTTGGTCCATTAAAGTTATCAATCCATCCCTAATACCAAAAATTTAAAAAGGGGGAGAAGCTTTAGAAACATTATGAAGCTAGAGATTTATTATTTGAATTCTACAACCCCAAATATATACTTGATAGCTGTCTTCTAAAAACTAAAAAACAGACTATATTCAGGCCAATATAATTCTACCAGTCCCAAACAGAAACAGTCTTCCTCTGGGATCAAAAGTGACTAAGTAAAACCATTTTCAAAGGGTTACCTATTCTTCCATTAACTCTCTGCAAAGAGAAATTTATAAAAGGGGGTTTGTACTGTTAAATATTTTTGCAAAATTAAACTTGTTCAAGTTTGATTTTATGCTATTTACTAATTCAGCATCCTGGGATTAAGGAAAATGGCAAATCCCCCTCAAAATTATGAATAAAACAGAAAAATAGAATAATTGTCAAAGCAACAAGAGATGCTATCACTTACTTCCATTACACAGACCTATGTTTTGGCTAAATCAATTTATCCAACTCGTTTATATTTCTGCTTTCTCTCATTCCAGGAATTCAACACTACCCTAACATCACCCTGTACCTTTCTTAGCTTTGTGATCTAGAGGAAGGAAGGGATCTACCTCTTGGAAGGTCTGCTGCTTTTTGGTACTAAGAAGCAAACCAAGTCATGTTCTCCTCTGACTTGAGACAATGTCACAGCTCTTGATTTAATTTTCAATTAGGATTTTTAAAATGTTGATCTACATTTCTATATACTCAGCATCATATTACAGAAATGAAAGTTCCAATAAAATTAGCTCTATGAACACAAAACAGCTTTGCCATGGTAATCCATCTTTAATAAATAATACCTGTTCTTAAAGAACTGCCAGCTCTTTTTATAGAGTTATAACTTAAAATTCTCAACTCCAATAATTTATAAAGGTTTTTAACAACTTACTGGAAAAGGTTCTTTCCAACTGGCACCAACAATCGATGGCCTTATAATCGCCACATTTAGCTTTGCTCCTTCTTGTTGTACAACATATTCTGCCAACGCTTTTGTGTATATGTAGGTATTAGGTCTGTCTCCTATCAATTTTGGCGTGATATCATTTACTAGGCCATCATCCATCCACCTGGTAAAGAATTGCATACAAATATATTTCCAGATATTTTACTATAAAATGAAAAGCCACTTAATTGAACTTTGCACATTCAAACATATCTGTTGTTCTGACTCAAATCATCTGATGACTTTTACTGAAAAATTAAACTTAGTCTTTATTTTTCTTAAACATCAACTACACATCCACAATCCCTTATTTGCAATTTCTGTATCCAAAAAGATCTGAAAATTAAGAGTTATTTCGTAAATCATATGGTGGATAGCAAAATCTGATCTACACTGACTTATGGTCTTTTTTTGATTCAACCTAGTTTAAACAGTCGTATATTTTATACGTATTTGATCAGGGATACTAACCCAGATCAAGTTAAAAAGTTTTTTCCTATTACACAGTACAGAAATTATATTTCCTCTCTAAAGTCCAAATAAATTCCAAAATACATCTGAAACCTTTTGGAAGGTTGCAGGTTAGGAAATATAGATCTGTATATAACCACCTAGTGAAGTAACATGTTGATTATATACATTTACAATTAACATACATTTATAATGAACATAAAAGGTATAAGTACTTTTTATATATGAAAAAGAATATGAATTAAATTGAAGGGAAATTGCTATCCAACTTAGGAAAAATTCCACCATGGAGATGAGTTTTGAAAAATGGAAGGGATAGTTAATATATGAGAAAAAAAAAAGCCTCATCACTAGAATGAGTTTACAGAACAAATCTATGAGTTATTTTTAAATTATCTGCTAGCTAGATTTCTTTGCAGCCAGGAAAGGAGATATAGCATTAGCTTACAAGTTATTTTTCCGTTTCTCAAATGTTTGTATATATAAATGTTAGGAAGAGAAAAAGTAAAATGCTTCATTAACTTCCACACTCAACTTTTCCCACAGGTATTAAACACTTCTGTCTATTAATATATGAAGAAAATGAAGTAGATATTTGGGACCATCTAAGAAAATAAGTGAGAAAATAGAAATTAGGGAATTACAATGAAAATGTCTTGGTAATTTCTCATACTTATTTTTTTTTTACAATCTATCTGTTTCCTCATAATGATTAGCATGAAAGCTTTAAAGAAAAGACTGTGCTTATTTTAGGAGAAAGCAGCAGATGTTAACTAAGGAGTCAAAGTGGATAGAATCTCTGGAAAGAAAGATGACTAAAAGAGACAGAAGAATAAAGGAGGAAAAAACTCAAAGATATTATATAAGGATTAACAAATGTGAAAATATTGTGGATACTGGAATGTTTATATAATTGTAGTCTATAAAAGTAAAAAAGATCTTATTTTTTTGTCTGAACTTTGTCTGTTTGATGAGAAAGCCTAAGCTGCAGCAAATGAAAACAAGGTCATGGTATGTACCACTTCATTTAATCCCTATCTATCAATACTCACAAATAAATTTTTATGTAATAATTGCTGACAGAATTTCAGTCCTCAGAAAGACGATAAACAGTAAGACTAATGGTATGAGTTAAAAGACTATGACTCCTCTGATTCTTTAATAATTAAAGGCCTCTCTATAGATATACACCATGGGTGGGGGTAGTGACAGCAGTCTTTTAATAAATTAGAAGCTTGCTATTAAACAGGCAGTCATGGGTCTCCACGGGTACTTCTTGGTTGCTAAGACTGATTCCCTAAAAAAGAGTCCCTAATATCACTAATAAGATGTTCAGGAGCCTTCCTCCAAAACCATTATACGTGGTCAAAAGTGAAAACTACATACTGACTTCACTAACATTCCTTTAGATACTAATCTATACAACAAAAAGGATGTGAGGATACGTAAAAATTTTTGAAGAAAAGAGATAAATGTATGTGCGCATGCACATCCATATGGGTGGGGTGAGGAGGAGGGAGAGGGACTTGGATCCAAAGTTTTTTTTTTTTTTTTTTTTTGAGACAGTCTCACTGTGTTGCCTGGGCTGGAGTGCAGTGCACAATCTCAGCTCATGCAGCCTTTGCCTCCTGGGTTTCAAGCGATTCTCCTGCCTCAGCCTCCTAAGCAGCTGGGACTACAGGTGCCCACTATCACACCGGACTAAATTTTTTTTATATTTTTAGTAGAGATGGAGTTTCACTATGTTACCCAGGCTGGTCTTCAACTCCCGACCTCATGATCTGCCCATCTCAGCCTCTTTTGGGATCAAAGCAAATGTATATAAATTTAAAACAAACATACTCTAAAGAATCAATCAGCTTCTTGGGATCCACAGGTGGTGGGTAGACTACTTCATCAATATGCTTTCGATTACAGTAGGCATATGCTGTTGATACATGCATGAACACTTCCAGATTCTTCATTTGTTGTGCAAGGAGAATAAGCTGTCGCGTTGCAATCACATTTAACTGAACGGCATCTCTGTTTAAAAAGAAAAAGGGACAACAGAAAATTGGAAAGCTATGTTATTTATTTTACCTGTTAAAAAAATCTTATTTTCATTAGAGGGGTAGTAAGAGAGACAGAGACAAAAATTTTTGTTTCTTTACACCTTATCCTTTAGCTGTGATTTTGTGTATTTTATTTCAGTATAAAGTATGTTTACTCTATCAATTGTGTTAAAAAATTTTTAATTTTAAAATAACTTTCATTATAGCACTTAAAAATTAAAGTAGAAATTTAAAAATTATATAATTGCCCAGGAACAAACAGGTAATTTCAGTCTTTAGCTTCTATGCCTAATTTTGAAGTCATGCTAGACTTATTTTGCATCTTGATTTTTAAAAGTATAATATTGCATAATATGGATGTACCACAAGGATAAAAAAATAGAATGGTTAAGTAATTTTTAAATGTTAAGGTAGTCACTAAAAAGGATGATACGGCCAGAGAAAACTCAGAAACATTAAATTATATTAACATATAATCAAGAAAGTAAATGTATATTTCCCTCTTTATAGCAATCAATCCAAACACTTTTCTAAGACTACCTTATAAAATTCAAAGGGATATTATAATAAAACTGGTACATTTGTTACAAGGTACATGCAAGACCCCAAAATGATCTACACTCCCTCCTTGGAATTTACTTAAAGTAAATAATTCCACAAAAGCAAATGTATATATGCAGAAAAGTTATCAATAAAGTACCATGTAATAATAAAAACCCAGAGAGCCCAAATATTCACTATGGAATATGTAATGGCTCAATAAAGTAGGTATTTTATCACAATGAAAGAATATAGCCACTAAAATAATTATGTGAAGACTACAAAAACATGGAAAATTGGTATGAATAATACCAAAAAAAAAAAAAACACATGCAATATCATGTGAAGCAGGATTAAAAACAGGGCTCTGGAATCAGTCCTGTGTTCAAATTCTGACTTGGCCTACCTATCAGTTAGGACATAAAGCTATTGAAGCACTCCAGCCTTAGTTTTCTTACCTGGAAATGGGAACAATAATGAAACCTACCTACTACAACTGGTATAAAATTAAACAAAACAAATAGTTTGCAAGCATTTAGCAGTATTTCTAACATAGTCACCAAACAGGCAGTCAACAAATACTCCTTAAGGTAATGAGATGGTGGATAGTTTTTGCTTTCTATTAAACTTCTGTTTATAGCTTTTAAAAAATTGACCAAGAGATCTATTGTACAACATAGAGACTACAGTTAATATCAATGTACTGTATTATTAAAGATTATGAAGAGAGTGGATTTTAGGTATTCTCACCACAAAAGGTATGTGAGATAATGAATATGCTAATTAGCTCATTTAGCCATTCTACAATGTATACATATTTCAAAATACGTTGTACACAATAAATATACACAACTTTTGTCAATTAAAAAATAATAAAAAGGAAAAAAGATTTAAATAATACCAGTGACAAAATTGGCAAAGTAATATACTGTTGTTGACACTACAAACTGACACAAATGATCTGAAGGAAACTAGGACAAAGTATCAGGAATTACAGAAATGGTATATTTATTAATCTAGTTAATCTGTTGAAATTAACTCAGAGGTAAAACTTGTTCTAACCCTCACTTTTCAAATAAAAAGAAATTAAAATTCCTTAAAGTTTATTCTAAGTGAATAATACATAAATTGTGGTATGTCAACATGATGGAGTATCATCAAATCACTAAAATTGTAACTATGGAAAAAATTAGAAATACAGAAATTGTTTCTACATTAAGTTTTAAAAGTAAAATTAGAAAGTCTATGTTTACAATCGCAAAACAATAATGTTCAAACACAAAAAATTTAAAAAAAAACAAAAATAGTTTTGAGTACTTTCTAAAATTCTTTTATTTTCAGTATTTAAGAAAAAAATCCAACTACTGTTTTAAAAGGCCAGGATATTTCACAGATAGAATCCAGTCCACTTCACTGTAAAGCAGTGCTTTGATGTCTATCACATTTGCAAAACAATGGTGATAAGGAGAGTACTGTTTGGGACAGGTATACAGAGAATATTCTGTTACAGGTTCCTGAGGACAGGACAACAAGTTCTGGGTCACCAGGAACAAGGAATAACTCCAGGAGAGAAAAAAAGTCCTGTGCCATATTATTTTCTTTTAATTTAATAGTACCTGAGACCCTATGAAAACATATTAGAAAGACTTTTTTTTTTTTAATGAAATAATTGGGTTGGTGTCTTAAAATCATGGATGCATCTTTTTTTTTTTCCCTTCCTTGTCTCAATTGAGGAGGAAAATCTGTTCAAGTGAAAATCCATTAAGAAAGACATTTCACAGAGAGGATACTGTCCACTAGACTATAAGGGAATGCACTATTTTCTTTTGCATTTGCAAAACAATGGGGGCAGGAAGAGCAATGTTTTGGGAAATGTACACTAAGGATATTCTGTTACATGTCCCTGAAGATGGTGACAGAGTTTCTGGGTCACCAAAAATAACTTGAGAGGAAAACCTCTGTGCCTTACCTTTTTCCTTTGCATCTGTACCCGAAAGCCCAAACCTGAAGCCATTCTGTGCCCACATAAGTAACGCCTAGTATCTCTCTGCCAGTATAGTTAGCCTAACTCTGTTTTACCTCAATCCAATTTCTAGTCCATTGACCTTCAAACTGAGACTCTGACATGTTATATTAGAAGTCATTTAGTACTAATCAAAAATAATGTTCTCATTATTGTTTTGGTTACATGGAGTCATAAATGCATCTTCAATAAGAGAGGCTTTTGGGAGAGGAGTGCAAAATGAGAAAGTCTTTATAATTAGAATCTACCTTCACTAAATGTAGACATGGAAATCACTTCAAAAAAAATTTAAAAAGAAAAAAAGCTCAATGATCTGAAGTGCCAATAAATTTTCTTGTTCATCTTTCTTTTACAGACAGCTTAGGTTATTCAAAATCTACGTTGATAATACTTCTAAAGACCTTAAACCAGGGTTCTCATACTTGGCATAACATACACCTGGGAGTTTATTAAAAATGCAGACTCCTGGACCTCATCCTCAGACACTTTTAACACATGAAACGAGGTCTGGAAAACTATATTTTAAATAAGTTCTCTAGGCGATTTTGACACAAGTCTCTTTACCACCCTCTTACTCCTAAGAAAATACTGTCTAGATGAGATCTCATCACCACAACCGCCATTTTTTTTTTTTTTTTTAATGAAAATATAGACACAGATGTTTAGGGAACAATGAGTCAATCTTAGGGTAGGGGGCTCAGTCATCTGTAATTTTAAAAATGTCTGCAAAGCTGATTCTGACAGCAATGGTTCTAAAGGGGCAAAACAAGGTCCAGCACTGACTAAATCACACCTAAGGCTCTTGCTAAAAACAAGAACCCTGGAGTATGATTCTAAAATTAAAAGGTCAAAATTTGGCAAGTGCAATCTAGGAATATGCATTTTAACACATTTTCCAGTAATTCTTAAGATTCATAATACATTCTAAATTTGATAATCAATGCCCAACAAACTCAACAGTTTCTTGATCTTTTTTTTTTTTTTTTTTTTTTTTTTGAGACAGAGTTTCACTCTTGTTACCCAGGCTGGAGTGCAATGGTGCGATCTCGGCGCTCACCACAACCTCTGTCTCCTGGGTTCAGGCAATTCTCCTGCCTCAACTTCCTGAGTAGCTGGGATTACAGGCATGCGCCACCATGCCCAGCTAATGTTTTGTATTTTTAGTAGAGACGGGGTTTCACCATGTTGACCAAGATGGTCTCGATCTCTTGACCTTGTGATCCACCTGCGTCGGCCTCCCAAAGTGCTGGGATTACAGGCTTGAGCCACCGCGCCCGGCTTTCTTGATCTTTTCTAAGCATCAATCTTAACTTCCATTTCTTTCTGAAAATCTTTCATATTCATACCTTGGGTCTTATCACCTTGAATTGCTCTATTTCTAAAATTTTATACTATGAACCATACCATCTGCCCACTCATCTCTCTCCTTCAGCCTAGTTTTTGTCCTCATGGTCTCTTCATTACTCTCAACTTTATTGACCCTGTCTAACTTGCACTTCCCTTACTAGTACCTTTCCTTATAACAGACGCCATGATCAACTACTTAAGTCACTCCATTTATTATCTTCACTTCTACCCTCACTTTTTTCTTTCTTTTTGAGATGGAGTCTCGCTCTGTCATCCAGGCTGGAGTGCAATGGTACCTTCTTTGGTCACTGCAACCTCCACCTCCCAGGTTCAAGTGATTCTCTTTCCTCAGTCTCCCAAGTAGCTGGGATTACAGGTGTGTGCTACATGCCCGGCTAATTTTTGTATTATTAGTAGAGACAGGGTTTCACCATGTTGGCTAGGCTGATCTTGAACACCCGACCTCAGATGATCTGCCTGCCTCACCCTCCCGAAGTGCTGAGATTACAGGCATGAGCCACCATGCCCAGCCCTCCCCACATTTTTTGTATTTCCTCATGAATCCTAAGCCTGATATCTATTTTTCTCCTGTCTCAGGATTTAGGAACCACCACATATGAAAATAAGTGAGCTCTATCTACCTTCTCTCAACTTCCATAGCGTTTAATGTATGCTCCTTGATAAATCCTTATTTTCTATCCTATATTATGGTTATTTTGCATATCCTATCTCCTCTAGACTACATGCACTTTGCAAATAAGATCTGTGTGCAATTTATGCTGGTTTCTCTCCTAAGGTATTGGGCTTAATGTTGTAGTAACATCTGAAAGCTTCCTCCCCAACAGTAAAAGCTTCGTGCCATTTTTTATTTGTGGGTTAACTTAACAAGCAGTTATAAAGAGTAATTGTTATCTGTCTCTACAAAAAATACAAAAATTAGCCAAGCATGTTGACATACGCCTGCAGTCCCAGCTACTAGGGAGGCTGAGGTGAAAGGATCGCTTGAACCCAGGAGGTCGAGGTTGCAGTGAGCCATGATTACACCATAGCATTCCAGCCCGGGCAATAAAGGTGACACCCTACCTTTAAAAAAAAAAAAAAAAAAAAAAAGTAATTCTTTCATACAAAGTTGTTCTACGCCTATCTGGAATATTACAGAATCTCTGACCCAAACCCAATGTCCTAGCACCACCTGGATGTCAAAATTGCTTCCCAGAAATAATTTCAATGTAATGACAAGGGCTATGTCAGTGAACATACATGCCTTGACAATGGAAGAGAAGAACAACGTAACATGTAAGAGGCCTTCTGCTATAGCTTCTCTAGTAAAAGAAGAAAATAATAATGAGAAGATGTCTTTTCATTAATGTTAGCCTTGCTTACCCTAGGGTGATAGAAAGAGAGACTAAGTTCCCTGAAAGTACTTTACTTTGATCCTCCTTGTAAAGCTTCCCTTTATGAGTTGCACCCTAGTCAATGTTGCCTGTTCACATTTCAAAGCATGTAATTTTCCCCTTTAAGTCAATGAGGACTAGACCACCATTAGCCAATATCTACGTATGTTTTTAATGAAAACATGCTAAGCTTCATAAAGCTGTGTGAACTCTTCCTTTTGTCTATGAAGGAAATAATAAAAGCCAGAACTACAGGGAAAGAAGAATCTATTTTACTGATCATTTCACACTATCTTTTCTTTAGGAAAAGATAAAGCACTAATTAAAAATTAAAGACCACATTAACAATCTTGGAAATGCTAGTCAAAAACAAATTGTTAGACCTATATGCAAATATATGTACACACAAGGAAAATTTTAAATGTAAAAAACAAGGAGTTTTGTTAGCTGATGAGGGTATCAGTCCCTTTAAGATTTCTTATAGGTGTTACTTTTAAAAATTATTTTTAAAAGTAACTTTTATAGGTGTTACTTTTAAAAATTATTTTTAAAAGTCATTGTATACAGCTTTATTTGAAGATTAATATATGTTCATAGTAGAAAAAATAATATACAGGTAAGACTATAAACCTACCTGTAACTGCACCATCCAAAGATAAATGTATCAGCAAATATAAAAAGACATGTATATAAATACATCTATGCATATATTTTATGAGAATAAGATCATATTATAGTCCTAATAATATTCTTTATCACCTTTGAATCATTAACACATAATGGCTGCACAATATTTTACCTGTCTGCTGCAGAGAAAGAGCTAAAAAATAAATAAAGCAACTGCTACAGATTCAGATTTCCTGCAATGGACAGGAACTGAGACATCACTTAAATTTCCTGAAGGAAAATGTAATAATCTTTTGAGAAATGTTACTTTGATTTTACATGTCAGGAAGCTGAGGTTTAAGGAGGTTAATAACTTACACAAACTCACCAGTAAGTAAATGATATGGTCAACATTAGAACTAACATATGTAATTCCAAAGCTCATAGCCCTTCCATTACAATGCTGCCTCAGCTTCCTCAAGTGTACAATGGATTTGTCTATAATGTTACAGTGGGTAAAGTGACCATGGAATAAAATAATTGATGAGAAAATACCTTAAAAACCCATAAAGGATGACTGCAGAGATCTAAAGGACTATTATAGTGAACTCACCTGGAATATAAGCAAAATATACTGTAATACTATGGTATTGAACTGTCACCTGATATAATGCTGACTGATGTTTATACTTCCATATTAGATAAAGACACTATGGTGAATATCATATTTTTGTAATCAGAACTTAATTTTTTATTTTTTTTAATTCTTAATTAAAATTTTTTGTTTGTGGAGACAGGGTCTTATTATGTTGCCGAGGCTGGCTTTAAGTGATCCTCCTACCTCAGCCTCAGAACTCCATTTTTTAAACTTTAAAAAATGTATTTTATTTTGTAAATTGACATATCATAACTGTACATATTTATGAGATATGCAGTGGTGTTTTGATTCATATAATATATAGTAATTATATCAGGGTAACTAGCACATCCTAGCACATCCATCATCTCAAATACTTATTTCTTTGTTGGAACATTCAATTTCCTCCTTTTAGTTATTTAGCTTTAAAACATTTTAAAGAGAAGGCTTTCAAGTAGCTTTGAAACCTATAATAAGTCTGTACCATTTTAATTGGCATGAGACCATAATATTAAAAGTAACATTATAAAAACTGTATTTTTGGACACACTGTCAAAAAGAATGCTCTGAATTCGGAGCCATTATTTGAATTGTTTATTCATTAGATTTTTTAAGAACAATGGACATTTAGAGTCTTAACTTTTTCTTGCAACAGATATCCTGAAAGAAGTTCAAATTATTTTTTAAATTAAATTTATCTCCAACATACCTTGCCCCTAGCACTACCACAAAAGTTTGAAAATAAAAAGGTGTGATTTAAATTTATAAGCAATTTACCTTATCCTGTAAAAAATTAGCCTAATTTTGTTTATTTTCAGATGGGTATGATGCGGATTAGAAGAATAAAACTGTTGGGGTATAGGCTTCTGAAGGAAGAGAAGACAAACACCATTAGTTGTTAAGACTAAGGTTTCTTCTACTACATTTTTTGCTTCTCCCCTGTTGCATGTTTAAATTCATGGCAACTTCTTCTAATAAATATGTATTAGTTATCCAGGGTTTTTAAACTGATAACAGGAGGAAGAAAAATGTTTTAACACTCTGTAGGACACTGAAAGCCACAGTTAACATATGACAAATAGTTTCAAATCACATTCACAACAACTTGACTAAAGAGAATTAGAATGAGATCTTTTAATAACTATACTGAAGTTCAAATATCATAATTACCTGCACTTACCTTAAATTTTCATTAAACCTTACTGCAGCTGCACAGTGGAATATAATATTGGTAGAATCTATGATCACCTCTTTATCTTCTTCACTGAGAGCCAGTTTAGGTTGGGTGAGTTCGCTGTTGATTGCTATAATTTTCTCTCTAAAATCTGGATTTTCATCTCTCAATCTGTCAAAGAGCTATCAAGGGGGAAAAATATTTATTTTAGGGCAGTATTTTTCCATTTTCTGAAACTCATCATCACCATTTTTTCCCACCAAGGATGACTGCTTTTTTAGAAACTTAAAACTATGCAATTCCTAAGGCTGCTATTCTTAATTGCTACTATTCTGTACAGAAAACACCCTATGAGGCCCACACTATTATCCCCATTTTGCAGATAAGGAATCTGAGACTCAGAGCAGTTAAGGAGTTTGTCAAGTACACAAAGCTGGTAGTTCACAGAGTTGAATTTGAACCGTCCATGACCTGGCTGAATAGATAACGTCACCCCTCAGAATAGACTTCAGCAATACAGACATCAGAACAATGTTTAAAAATGATCATTCAGATTTCTAAAATCCAGACCTTAATTTTTCACTTCATATTTTATTTTATTCCCTTTTGACAGATTAGAGAAAAACACGATTTACATTCTACTTAAAATTTTAGAACAAATTTTTAAAAAGGGAAAAATAGTAATTATGTGAAAGGAAAAAGTTGGTAAGCAAATATGCAAACCAGAAACTGAACAAACTTCAGAAGTATCACATTTATAGGATTTAAACTGAAAACTCAACATTCTTTAAGTGTACCCAAAGGAATAAATTTTGCTAGACAGTCAGATCACAGAATGATTACAGTTTAAAGGTGCATTCAATTATGAGTCAAGTTTAACTTTTTATCCCAGATGTCACAGAAAAACACTGATTTTTTTCCAGGTCACTGTTCTATCACTTTGACTCTCCATTTAAAGTTCATACTTGCAGTTTAAAAAGGATTCTTAACCTGAGAAGTCTATATAATACATCAGAGCTCATTTTCACCTTCCTAGATGACTTTAGTATATAACAGTCTTCCTGCTTCTACTGCTAGCTCCTACTGCTACTTCCACTGCTAGCACATGACTTGAATATTAATGTGTTCTTCTATTAATTAAAAAAATAAAAACTTACTGGTTATTTAATATGAACCAGGCAAGCACCTTCCAGATTCTAAAGAAACAAGAAAATGGCCTTTGGTCCAAGTAAATGGACAATTAATATATAGTGCTCTATTTAATAAGAGAACAGAGTTATGGGGCTGCATAGGAGAAACAACTAACCCAGCTTTGAAAGACCACACACAAGCTGGCCTTCTCAGAGAAAATGACATTTAACAGAATGTGTGTGTGTGGTGTGTGTGTGTGTGTTAGGGACAAAGTGAGGGAGGAAGGCCCTGAAATTACAAAGTAGAAGAATAGTGTTTCTAGGCAGAGGAAGTAGCATGTATAACCCATCAGAAATCAGAAGGCATTAATATGCTTGGGAGATTAAAAGTAATTTAGTCAGCTTGGAACATAAGAGTATGCAGGAAAAAGCAGCTAGAGTTGATGGAGATAAGAAAGGCCAGATAACTTTGTCTTTTAAGCCACATTAAAAAGATGAATTTTATCTGAGAGTAATGGTGAGTTACCGACTGATTTTAAGCAGAGAAGTGATACAAGCATGCTCATAATTTTAAAAAATCCTTTGGCAGTAATGAGTTTTAGAACACTCTTGTGGTTACCCATATCCAGATATTGCTTGGTCTGAATCAAAATAATGGCAATGAGAGATTTAGAATGTAACATTCAGGATATAGTCATTTTGGCCAATGACTGGATTTGAGGGATAAGAAATGCAAACTTCATAAGGGTAGGCTCCACATCTATTTTGCTCAGCATACAAGTCCAAGAGAGCAGATCTTGCCTGGCAAGATAAAGACTTTAAACATTTGTTAAGTGAATAAATTCAGTAGACTGAGGAACACAGGGAGAGAAAGAAGCTGTTTTGGAGATAGAATTTCAGTCTTGTGAATGTTGAATGTAAAGTGCCTACATGACACCCCAGAAGACAGGTCTAGTAGAGGTGACTGGCTTTGTGGGTCTAGAGTTCAGGGGAGAGAGCCAGACTATCAATATAGATGTTACTAACCACATAGAGGTAGTAACTGAAGCCCCGGGAGTAGAAAAGAGTTTATCTAGGTAATAGCAATAATGAGTACCCAAGATCCAAACTATATAAAACTAAATCTAATTTAAAGGACATCCATTCCTTTCACATAAAACGGAGGGTGGCTGAGTAACCATCTCACTGGACCTAGTAAGATATCAAGGCCTACACCAGAAACTTGAAGAATAACAATCTTTAAGGGGCAAGCAGAGAAAAAGGAACCTAAGGAATGACCAGAAAAGTACTTTTTAATACCTTGAATTCATACTGCATTCTCCTGATTGCTGATGACCTTTAATTTCCTTTAATATCAGCTATCTATACCACTACCACCAGGACATAACAATGCTGCTCTTAAATTTGCTAAATCTTAAATGTGATGCTCTTCTTTTCTCTAGCCAGCATCTCCTAATTCAATACCATCCTTTCCAGTGTTTTTAACCCACTAGTACCTAATTAGTTTCTACTTTACTAAGTTTACTGATACCTTCTTAACATCCTTGATTCTCTTTCCTGAATATACTTCATGATCAAATACTTTGTTTTACTTTTTGTTTTTTGAGACAGGGTCTTGAGAGACAGGGTCTCACTCATCACCCATGCTAGAGTACAGTGGTGTAATCTCAGCTCACTGCAACCTCCACCTCCCAGGTTCCAGCGATCCTCCCACCTCACCCTCCTGAGTAGCTGGGACCACAGGCATGCACCACCACACCTGGCTAATTTGTATTTCTTAGTAGAGATGGGGTTTCTCTGTATTGGCCAAGCTGGTCTCAAACTCCCGGCTTCAAGTGATCCACCAGCCTTGGCCTCTCAAAGTGCTGGGATTACAGGCATGAGCCACCGTAACCAGCCATGATCAACTATTTTATATCAATCTTCGTTACCCAATGGAGTTTCTGTTCCCTGAGACATTCCCATAAGTCACTGTTCTCAAACAGGGGTGATTCTGGTCCTCAGCAGATATTTGGTGATGTCTAAAAACATTTTGGTTGTTACAGCAGGGAGTGAGGTCAGGAATGTTGCTGATGACCCTACAATGCAGAGGACATGCCTCCAGAACAAAGAACTAGCCAGCCCAAATGTCAATGGTGCTGAAGCTGAGAAACCCTACTGTAAGTCAGTGTGTCCCATTTGGTATATGCTCTTGGCCTTATGTTCTTTATTCCTATTTCAAACTCAGAGTAGATAATACCTACAATTTCTTACTAACTTTAAGTGCACACTCACTGCTATCTGACATAAAAAGGGCTCATTTTTATTGACTCACCAGCAATGCTATACACAATGGAGAATGAATGGCTTTAGAATTAAGTAGTAGGATATGCCAGGAGGTAAATGAAGGCATAAGATAAAAATTACATAATTTTAGGGAGTATCAAGTTTAGTCAAATATCTGGGGACAAAACATTTTTTAATATTGAAAATAACAACTGTATGTTTAGGCTAAACCATCAAAGTTCAATGAAACTTCAGGCTTTAAGTAGAAAATATTCCTTTTCTTACGCTTAGCGTGGAAGAAATTTTAGAAGCACTGCTCTGAAGACCCCAAAGAAAATGCCCAAGTCGTCTTCACATTTTACTCAGACCCTCAATTCTGGCCAGCCCATCAACTTAAATAACTGTTCCTATTTCCTCCTGACACTTCTGATACTGCCTCTTCCTTCCTCCTTCCCTCTTAAAAACTGTCTAAAAGGCCAGGAATGTATCTTACTTATCCCTGAATTCAATTCCCTACAAGAAGTCAAACACCCAGAACTAAGCAGGCACAATAAATATAATCTAAAAAATAAAAAATGAGTAAGAATAAATAACCCCTCACTGGGGGGACAGGAGTATCGGGAGAAAAATAAAAACATACCAATTACAAGTGCTTCATAATAAAAATGCCAAGATGAGTAAACAAAGGGCAAGAAAACAGGCATTCTACTTAGAACAAGCCTTGTGGTTTTATAGCCCCATTGATGACTCCTTCCTTGTAGGTTTTAAGGGAAGCAAAGGATTCCAGAAGGGTTCAGCAAATAATCAGAGAGAAAAAAATGATTAAGAGAGATGAATGTAGTCTAATTTGTATAAGTACAATTATATATGTATAAATTATATAAATTATTCTTATAAAACTATAATTTTTAAACTTCTAAGAAAGAATCTTACATCCCATCATTAAAAAATAAAACCAACGTAATGAGGCATATATGTTGCATGGTGTCAAGCAAATGCTAATGTCATATGACAATTAGTGCCAAATAACTATAATAAAGGTATATGAAGTTCATTCAAAGTCAAAAGTCTGGTTGGTTGCTATAATGAGGCTTGCTACAGTTTGGGGTTTTTTAAGAGGCCTATAAGAATGTAGATATTCAAATGAGTGTCATTCTAATTATAAAATAAATGCTCTACTTGAAATTCCTTCTTGAGATATGTCTTATGTGCACCAAAACTGAGCTTATAGCTTTCTAATTCAATTTACTATTAGTAAATGTCAGATAAAATCATTTAAGAGAATTCACAAACTTATGATTGTGAAATACTTCTACTCCAGCTCATTTCCATTTTTTCTTAGCAATATTTTTCCGAAGGCTCAAAATGTATGACACATTCTTATATTCTATATGGCCCCACCGTCATCTGTCAAATGGGAATATGTGACTTCTCTACTGCCTAATACTGTTGTCAGGGAGTAAGTGGTGTTATCAAAGCACAGTGTCTCACAAAATTAGGTAGTCTTACTACCTACTAATTACTATTATTATCAAAAAACTAAACTATTTAGTAGTTACAAACAACCTGCCTCAAATGTTCTAAAAACATACCTTAAATACCTACCATAAAGGTAGCTTAGAGCTTACTATACAATTTTGCCTGTCACAGAGGAAAACTTTTTTTTCCTAGTTACTCACAAGTCATATCCTGTTTCTTGCCATTCTGCAGGAACTTACTAAATTTTTTTTTACTAATTTTTTCAGAATACTGAAGAAATATACTAAGCTATTGATGGTCACAATAATTACACACACAAACACACACTTTTTTCTCCGTTCCAAATGCTCATTTTCCACACTTACCTTGCCACTAAGGATTTCTTCTACTCGCTCTTGTGGTGTCTGTCCAGCTTTCTGCCTCACCAAAACATATACTGAATTCACCTTAGGACAAGATCTCAGCAACTTTTCCAGAAGCACCTTCCCTAGAAAACCAGTAGCTCCTGTGAGGAGGACATTCTTGCCTTCATAGTATTCTGGGATTGAAACCATTTTGATCCTAAGAAAAATATGGCAAATAAGCATTAGTTTAAGGATTCACCTTCATTCTTACATACTAAAAATCTCTTGGCATTCAAATAAGTATTTTAAAAAGCAGGCAAAAGTCAAAATTGAATATTAACAAGCAAGGACTATAACCTCCACTCCATTACAGTAAAGTGGAAAGAAGAATGAGACCTGTAGCTTATTTTAACCCTGTGTTTTTCCCTTGGATCACCTCAGACAAGTCACTCACCTTCTCTGGACCTAAGTTTCTTTGGTACAATTTGTACTAAAGGATCTCTAAAAGTTCCTTCCAGAAATAAGAACCCAAATCTGCATTCAATCTCAGTTACACTCTAAACACAACTGAATGGTGTTTCTCTGACTCCAAAGAGATTTATAACACCAAATACAGGTCAGCAGCAAGACTCAATTACTTAGCTTGTATAACACTGGAGGTGTCATATTTGCCTATCATCACCAATTGTAACAAGAAGAGGTAACACCAAGCCCTTTCTATTACATATCTCTTAGTGACAGTATATCCAAAAGGTGCTTAAATCTCCCTTTTTAAAAAGTTAGAGTAAGAAATACATGGGCTGACTGAACTTCCCTACCCCAATTCCACTGAAACAGCAGAAAAGATATATTAAGAAAATGAACAAATAAAAGAACCATAATGAATGGAAAAATAAAAACAGGTGTAGAAGAATTCATGCATTATGTCACTACAAAAAGCTCTAACACATTCAAAACAATGCTCTGTATTGCCTAGAAATGTACACAGATGGAAAAATATTAATAGATGCCTGAAAGGCAGTAGAAGAAAATAAGAATCTTGAATTGTATTTATGTTTTATTTAAGCTGGGGAGTAGATGCATGTGATTTATGTCTAAATTTTTCATAATTAAAAATATATATATTCATAATAACCTGGAAAAAATAGCTCCATTAGCCAAGCCAAACAAAAAAGAAGAAAGAAAAAAATGATAGAAGAATTTCTAGAAGAAACAGACAAGACTGAATTGGTAGAATAGCCATAGCAGAAGAAACAGCAATCCAAGCAAAACAAGCACAGGAAAGGACTATAATGAGGCAAGAACTCTTTTTTACTAACCCCCTAAATGGAACCTGGTAGAAAACACCAAGGTCAGGATCAAGAAGCTGGACTAAAGCATAAAGAAATCAAGGTAATTAAAAGATTGCTCACAGAACAGCAGAGCTACTCATGACAGTCTCACTTTCTGTATAAACTCTGGCTCCCAGGCTTAGTATCCAGATCTGACTGAGAAGAGCATACAGCATGGGTAATAGGGACCAAAAAAAGAAGTAGAATTGAGCCTGAGGGTTGCTTCAAACATCCCCAAATGGAGGTAGGGGAGGCAGGGGATCAGGAGAGAGCAAACAAAAACCACCAAAAGGAAAAAGCATTTATAGCGCTCAGAATACATTTTAGGTCCTCAGCCTCTCTGTTGCTGGCCCTTAATACAAGCTTGTCCAACCCATGGCCCAGGATGGCTTTCAATGCAGCCCAACACAAATTCATAAACTTTCTTAAAACATCATTAGATTTTTCTGCAATTTTTTTTTTTTTAGCTCATCAGCTATTGTTAGTGTTATTTTATGTGTGGCCCAAGACAATTCTTCTTCCAATGTGGCCCAGGGAAGCCAAAAACTTGGATAGCCCTGCCTTAAAGGAAACTCATTCAGAGCTCTTAATCATACCATCTGTGGAAAAGCTCTTTTGAGAAAACAGACCTCAAAAACTAGAGGAAGCCAGTATCAGCTACCAAAACCAACGACCCTACTCCATTATAAATACGAGTAAATAACCACAGATCACCAGATATTTAAAAACTACACACAAAATAAAGAAAGCCCAAAATGAAAAGCAATAGAACCAACTACAAAGGAAATTAAGGTAAGGAAAAATTTTAAGAAAACTTAAATTCCTATATTCTCCAAGTTGTTCACAAAAATGCTGCATCCATAATATAATTAGTAAAAAAGGAAACAAATAATATGAAAGCATTCAGAAATTAGAAACTCAGGTGTAAGTACAAAATCCAATAAATAAACAGACTATTAAAATTAACAGCCCCCACATGAATTTAAGAAGGTCGCCAGATACAAGGTTTACATGAAGGAAAAACGTATTTCTATATACCAACAACGCATAGTGAAATTTTTAAACTCAAAATTATACCACTTAAAATACTATAAAACACCAAAATTGTAGAAAAAAATAAGTGTTGGTGAAGACTTTAAAAAATCAGAACAGTCATACCCTGTTGGTAGGACTGTAAAATGGTTCAGCTGCTGTGGAAAAACGTTTGGCAGTTCCTTAAAAAGTTAAACAGAATTATCACATGACCCAGCAATTTCACTCCTAGGTAAACACACTAAAGAATTGAAAACAGGTACTCAAACAAGTTGACACAGGTTTATACAGGTTAAGTATCCCTTATCCGAAATGCTTTGGACCAGAAGTGTTTCACATTTCAGAATTTTTTTCAAATTTGGAATATTTGCATTATGCTTACTGGTTGAACATTCCTAATCTGAAATCCGATAAGGATTAGCCAGATGTGGTGGCACATGTCTGTAATCCCAGCTACTTGGGAGGCTGAGGCAGGAGAACTGCTTGAACCCAGAAGACAGGTTGCAGTGAGCTGAGATCCTGCCACTGCACTCCAGCCTTGAGGACAGAGCAAGACTCTGACTCAAAAAAAAAAAAGAAAAAGATGATCGAAATGACCAATTAGCACATGAAAAGGGGCTCAACTTCATTAGTTATCAAGTTAAAACCCCTATGTGATACCACTAATTGACTCTCAGAATAAGGGTGTAGAATAAATGGAACTCACATCTTACTGCGGGAGGAAGTACAGGTTAATATAATACTTAGGAAAGGTGGTACTGCTTGCTAAAGCTGAACATTCACATCATATGACCTAGTAATTCCACTCCTAATTACATACCCAATAGAAATGAATACATATGTTCACCAAAAGAACAAGCAAGTATGATTATAGCAGCACCATTTCTGTTGGCCCAATATAAAACTCAAGTGTTCATGAAATAGTATAGCATATACACTGTGGTATATGCACATGATAAAATATTTAAAAACAATAAAAATGAAGGAACGATTGCTAAACACAATGTGGAGGGATCTCACAAAGGGAGCACTGAACCAGCAAGGCCAGATAAAAAAGTGTGTACTACTATATGATGTCATTTATATAAAGTTCAAACTAGGCAAAACTCATCTATGACTGAAAATCAAAACAATGGTTATCTTGTAGGGAAGAAGAGGCAGTGACTAGAAGGGAACATGAAGAAGACTTCTGGGATACTGGTGATATTCTATTTCTTGATCTGGGCAGCTTATTTTTAAAAAGTCCATCAAGCTGTCCAGTTAGAATATATGGACTTTCTGAATTTATTATATTTGGATAAAATATTTACTTTGAAAAATAAAAACAAACAACGTGACCATATGTCATAGTTTGCCTGGAACAAGCCTGATTTATACATGCTGCTCCCACTTAATTTTGTTTTTCTCAGAAGTGTCTCAGTTTGCACAATAAATTATATGGTTACCGTCATTATAATCTATTCTATTTCAATGACAAAAAGTCTAATTAAAACTATAGAGCATTAAAGTTCAAATGAATAGTGCCTTCTGAAGGCTGAGGCAGAGGGGCTGCTTGAGCCCAGGAGACCAAGGTCAGCCTGGGCAACACAGCAGACCCCATCTCTTTAAAAAACAAAACAAAACAAAACAAAACAAAAAAACGTTTGCTGTCAGTAACCTCATATGGAAGACATGATGAATAATTCTGCATAAATATACTTCTTAACAAGTAGATATTAATGACAATTACATACTTAATATATATTAAATAGTATACTGAGAGCATACCTAGAAGAGCTATCTAATTCTTTGAGCTTTATTTTTTTTATGTAAAAATTTATTCAACAATTTATTAAGGACCTACTAGGTATCAGGCACTAGAAAGTTTTTCATAGGTGTACATATGCATGTAAGACAGGATAATATATTAAGCAGTTTTCCCTCTAACAATTGAGAATTTAGAGCCTGAATATGTGATCAGTTCAACCCTAAAAAACAAAAAACAAAAAACAGAAAACAAAACAATGTACTTCCTTCAGATATCAAGACATTTGCCCTACCAAAGCCTCAACAGCTAATCTATCACCAACAAATAGCAGAAATTTTTTACCAAATGCAATTCTCCTCAAGCTTAACAGAATAAAGATTGCTTGCTAAGAGAGTTGTAGAATGAAGTGGTTTCTTATCAGTTTCAGGCAATAACTTAAAGCTTAACAAGCGATTTTATACTATTTGATGACTTACACAGTTTTCCTCCTAGAAAAAAACCAATTCCCACAACTTAGCACAATGCCACTCAAACATTTACAAGCACTATTTTTAAAAAATTATTATACTTTAAATTCTGGGGTACATGTACAGCACGTGCAGGATTGTTGCATAGGTATACAAGTGCCATGGTGGTTTGCTGCACCCATCAACCCGTCATCTACATTAGGTATTTCTCCTAATGCTATTCCTCCCCAAGGCACCCCCGACTCCAGAGGCCCTGGTGTGTGATGTTCCCCTCCCTGTGTCCATGTGTTCTCATTGTTCAACTCCCACTTATGAGTGAGAACATGCGGTGTTTGGTTTTCTGTTCTTGTGTTACTTTGCTGAGAATGATGTTTTCCAGCTTCATCCATGTCCCTGCAAAGGACATGAACTCATCCCTTTTTATGGCTGCATAGTATTCCATGGTATGTATGTGCCACATTTTTTTTAACCAGTCTATTATTGAAGGGCATTTGGGTTGGTTCAAGTCTTTGCTATTGCGAACATTCTATCATAAAGACACATGCACACGTATGTTTATTGTGTGGCATATATATACCCAGTAATTTGATTACTAGGTCAAACGGTATTTCTAAGTCTAGATCCTTGAGGAACTGCCACA